GCCATTACGCCAACTGCTGGTCCCAACCATTATTTTTTACTTTGCTACAGAGCACATATATTCACTAGACAAAAACAGAGAGAGAGAGAGAGAGAGAGAGAGAGAGAGGGATGTAAGAAAGCAAGCCACCAGGTCTGGGACTCAAACTATTGTCATCCATGTGGGAGTCCAGTGCCCCAACCACCCTATCACCTGCTGGCCCCTTCTTTTATTTTTAAAATAAAAACTTTAATTCCATGAGTGATTCATATTCAGTGTAGAAATATTAAAGATAACTAAAAGAAAAGTCTTCCATATCCTTGCTGTTAATATCCTGTACTTTTCCTTAGACATTTTCCCTAGACAGTTTTTCCTCATCCCTTGGGCTCTGGTGGGTGCCCCAGGTGCTGAGTTCTCAAAACACCATCCTCAACTGGGTGGTCACTGGGTAACTGTGGAGAGTAGCTGACTGTTAGGGTAACGGCCATGGAATCCTTTCACTTGTACATACTTTAATTACAATGCCAAGGTCATGTACGGAGTGGACACTTTGGAAATGTTTGCTTTTTCATTGCTTTAGGTCCTACATCTCTTTTGATATCTTGAGAAGAGTGTTGAAGGATTACTTCAAATTTGATGTCTTTTATTGTATGAACATTACAGATATTGATGATAAGGTAAAGGGAGTTTTCAAGATTAAATTTGTATGTGTGTGTGTGTATGGGTATGTGTAGTGTTATTTTGGACAGAGTCTCAATAAGTTGCCCACACTGGCCAGGAGCTTGCAGTCTCCTGCTTAAGCCTCCCAGGTAGCTGGGAGCCAAGGTATGTACTACCCTGCCCAGCTCAAGATAAAACTGTATATATGATTGGGTAATATTAAAGAAGATAGAACTTTCAGATAAGTATGTAAAAGAATATAGGCTTGAGTTTGCATGGGTTTTGACTTCATAAATATCATTTCAATCTCCTCGATGAATTAGTGTCATAATTTATGCAAATAATATGGTCATTTATACAGATGTTCAGATGCTGTTAGAAAGCTGCATTTTCAGGGACCACATTGATTAAAGTGTCCCTAACCCATGGTGCTTTACGGAGAGAAGACCTGCTGGGGTGTGCACTCTTGTGCATAGCTCTGTGTGGGAGTGGGGCCCCATGTGTCCTCAGTAACACAAGGGTCATGGTGGACGTCAGACGCTGCCCGGCAATGGGCAACAGTGGGCAGTGTTCATGTTCCATGATGCCGTGGTTCCCGCACCAGCCTCCCGATGCTCAGAGTTTGCCACATGTAAGTGGCCTGCTATATATATGTGGACAAAAGTGGGCTCTAAGCATAACCTCCAGTTTCCCTTTTCCCTTTCCAGATCATCAAGAGGGCCCGACAGAACTACTTGTTTGAGCAGTATCGGGAGAGGAAGCCCCAGGCAGAACAGCTCCTAGCAGATGTCTGTGCCGCCCTGAAGGTGGGCCCCTTGATGTCTGCACTAGATACCATTCCCTTTGCTTCCTGGTCATGGCTCTCTGCCCTTTGTAGGTCACCATCCCTAGGGCAGCATCTGTCTTATCAGGCTTTCTCAAGGTGTACTAAGGCCATTTCTGTCTGGGGCACTGAAGTCTCAGTAGGTTGGGTCCACTGGCCTGTGAAAAGGGCACTGGGAAAGATGCATAGGGATATGGAGTGTGGAGTAGGTGACATGCCTACTTATGGAAAGAAGTCTGAATTCGTAGCAGCACTGCTACTTACACTTGTAGTAACACCTCTTGATATTAGCATATAATCATTGACATCAAGGTTGTAACCAAATCAGATACTTCTGACTGAGGTGCAAAAGCTGTGCTAAGCTTACTGAATTGTTAGTACTGTCCATTTGCATTTTAATACTGTCCATTATTTAAAGAAGTTAGCTCTCTCCAATTTAATGTTGTTATTCTGAATGAGCTTTTTTTTTTTTTTTTTTTTTTAAGAAGTTTTTGTCTTAGAGCATATGCACTGAGGGGGATGGGGGGACAGGCACAGTGAGAGGGAAAGTGAGAAATCACCCCCCAGGGGGTGTGTCCATGCCATAATCCCTTCTCCTCCTGGGATCTTGGTCATGCACACACATGCACCTGGTGTGAGTTTGAAGCCACCAGGTCCAGGACTCATGCTGTGTTTGGCAATGTGGGAGTCTAGCAACGTAATTGCTATACCATCTGCTGGTCCCTGAATGAGCATTTTTTAAAAATTTGCCAGAGTATGTAATATCTTTGCACTTGCCAAAGAGAGACCGAGGGAGAGAAGGAGAAAGCACCCCCTAAGGGGATGTGCTTGCTCATGCCATAAATCCCTTCTCCTCCATTTCTGCTTCCTATTGAGATTTTGGACACTCATGCACATGCATGTGGCATGTCTTTCAAGACTCCAGGGTCAAGATTCAAAGAATGTAGTCAGCTAAGTAGAATTAGGCTGCCTTAACCACCAGTTTATGGAGCCAACCCTGAATGACCATTATTATAAATATAGTTATTTGCATTATAGTAAGACTAGAATAAGTCATTTTATTCTCTTTAATAATAACTGGTATGGGGCCACCAGGTGGCTTGGTGGTTAAGATGCAGGATTCCCACATGGCTGTCCACAGTTCAAGTCCTGGACCTGGAGGATTTAGAATCACACCTGGCACACATGTATGTATACAGATTTAGAATCACACCTGGCACACATGTATGTGTACACAAAATCCTAGGAAGAGAATGGAGAAGGGATTGGGTATGGCCATCCCCCTTCGGGGGTGGGGGGGATGATTTCTCACTTTCCCTCTTTGGCTCTTTCCAGTGAGTTTATGTGCTCAATAGCAAACACACACATACACACACACATTTTTTTTTTTTTTGAGAGAGAAC